GGTGGGGGTAACAAGGTTATTTGTTACCCCCGGTACCCAATTATACCCCTGAGTGGAGAGAGGCATTGTGAGAGTAAAGGGGGTAAGTTTCTAAAGAAACTGTGGTGCTGCGTCGGTGGGGGTAACAAGGTTATTTGGTTATATCAGCTAAGTTAAAATTGTAAATTGGCCACTGTAAAGAGTTAAAAAGCTAAAGCTTTTTAAACCAGAATTGCTTAACTTACACAAAACCATTTGAGTAACTCCGATTTCTAACGAATCAGTTAATGTAGAAGTCGTACCTAAACAACCCTGCTTTACACCAAAGAGGCCTGGACTGCACAGGTCACACTTCTTTCCAATCACCTTCGGTCTACATCTGCAGATTCCGTGTGTCTGATAAATATGAAGAGACGAAATATTGCCAAATATATAACAATTACTCTCTAAAGTGGAGGTAAATATTCTTATAATATAATAATAATAACTTTTATTTCTATAGCGCTCTTATCCTATGTTCAAGGCGCTTTGCAACACTGTACGGGGGACTTTACCAGACTGCCAGTGGCAGTTTACAATCAACAAAGACGAATTTTAACAGATGCCCCCTTCCCCCAATTCCCGGTAAACAGATCAGACCACATCACAGTAATCTCGTGATGTGGGTTCTTTAACGTCCCCTGCCTAATCAAATTATCTAATTAATAGGTGCAGGAGACGGGACCTACGGTTTATTCGTCCTTATCCGACTAGAATCCTTGACACTCAGTTACGTTTCACTGAAGAACTCCGACTAGAATCCTTGACACTAAGTTACGCTTCACTGAAGAACTACCTCACAAAGACCGTTTATTGGTGCAGAGATGTTACCTTCAGATGGGTCCAGATACGAGGAGACTTTTAAATAATCATTTCTTCGATGAGAGCTAGGCCAAAAGTGACGAGGATCCTTATAGATAAAGGAGTGCTCCATAATAGATGTAACAATACGCGGATTACAAAAAGGCACTGGTAGGTCAAGGCAATTCTTTTTAAGACACATGATGCATGACCTATAGTTACCTGAAACACCTTCGTATTTACGATTTAGAGAGGGACTGTGTATACCTACCAAGTCACACTGAAGATCAGTCGAGCCGTCAATATCACAGTCACAAGGCGTACAACCAGAAGAGGTGTAATTGAAAGCGTTCTGTTCACATCTGTCACACATCTTTCCCGTAACATAAGGATGGCAGGAACACGAACCAGTCATGTTGTTACATTTGCTATTCACTGCACCAACAGTTGAACAATTGCACGCTGAAAATTGACTCAAAATATGAGTGAAGGATACCTTTTTTTTTTTTCAATTTTTTGCTCAATGCTCTGGCTGGTATATAAACCTCGAGCCACCTTTGTAAGCAGTCCTATGAAAAAATAAAAACAGGCTAGACTAGTTCATGCTTGTTTTTCTACTTATGGTCCTAGTGGGCCACGCCTTATCCTCTCAGTATTAATTCTAAATGGCTCTCTATTTTGATTAGTTAAGTTTTATTCCCAAAAGCCTTTGTAAACTTTGTGGAGTTTGTTTGATCGCTCAACTTTGCTTCATTGTAGATTATAATCCGTTGAGGAAAGATGGATCAGTGTTTCTCGATAAATATAAAAAGTTTTCTTTTGGATTTTTTTTTTTTTTTTAATAAAACGAATTTGTCTGCCTTACCTTGACAACCGTGACCAGAAGTGAAGTTAAAATAGTTCGGTTTACACTGATCACATGTACGACCAATCACATTAGGTTTGCATGAACACTGTCCTCCATTTCTATTGCATTGATCGGGGTTGTTTGACCCCACAGAGCTACAGTTACATACTGAAAGAAAAGTTAGTAACTGGTTGTACGTTACATAATCATTTACCCAAGAAACTATCTCGTTCTTACTTGGTCAGCGACAACTACCAAATTAGATTTCAGAGAGCTTTACGGGATAGCCCTTTACATTCTTTGCGTGAGCTATACGGGATCAGNTTTACATTCTTTGCGTGAGCTATACGGGATTTCCCTTTTACATTCTTTGCGTGAGCTATACGGGATTTCCCTTTTACATTCTTTGCGTAAGCTATACGAGATACCCCTTTACATTCTTTGTGTGAACTATACGGGATGTCTCTTTACCTTCTCTGAGTGAGCTATACGGGATTTCCCTTTTACATTCTCTCGAAATAAAAGATTTTTCAAGGTAAATAAATCTTGGTGATATTTGAAGGCGAAGTAACTGATATTTTGATTATAATAAACTGTAATTGGGGCTTGTCACAAAAAACTATATAAATTTATTAATAAACTTTAAACCGTCACTTAACTGGAAGAGGGTGTGCAATCTGTTCCAGTTATTACATCTTTCACACAAACGGTTTTAGCCCAATGCTCACATATGAAAATTGGTTGTTCTCCTGGTAAGCCTTTGAGCCAGAAAACATTTCCAAAAAAACAAAAATTTTACTGACTTGTCTCAATTTGAACCGGATCAACTACTCATTAGAAAAGAAGTCGTACCCAAGCAACCCTGCTGGACATCAAAGAAGCCCGCAACACACATATCACACTTTTTACCAATCACGTTTGGTTTACAGCTGCAGTTTCCGTAAACCTAAATAATGTGAAAAAAAGGAAAACACAAAAGTCATATTTTGAAATATGATTTTGCCTTTTTGTAGTGGAAAAACCATTGAAACAGTGGTCCCCAGGATAGAAAAAATGACAGTTTTGAAGGATCGATCAGAGAAGGTTAACGAGGAATAATAAACTGGAACTAGCAAGTTTAGCAAACATTTTTGAAGAAACGATACATGAAGTACGACCAAGATACTTTAAAATTCCAAATAAACGATTAAAAAAAGAGACTGTAAATGGCCTACCAAGTCACATTGAAGATCAACTGAACCGTCATTGTTGCAATTACAAGGCGCACAGCCAGACGCAGTATAATTAAAAGCGTTCTGTTCACATCTGTCACACAACTTTCCCGTCACATAAGGATGACAGTTACACGATCCAGTTATGTTGTTACACTCATTATTCAGTGCATTTACAGGCGAGCAGTTGCAACCTGAAAGTCGATTCAAGACAGAGATTTAAGAGAATTGACAAAAATGCCACATTGCCTTGTCTTGTTTAGTAATGTGGTTGGTTACAAAAGTCCCACGCCGCCCTCTCCACCGATGAGATGGCGTGGCACCCGATTTCAGAAAAAGCTCGCCCAGAAGTGTTCTTGTATTAAAAAACTGGTGTAGGGGTATTTTTTTTTTCTGCTCTGATGGGCCTTTCGACCTGAATCCTTTGCACTTGGTTCCGCTGCACTACGTTAAAACACTTGATTAGCTTACGTGCGGGTGTTGTCATTCCAAAACAAGCTAATCACCTCTAATAGACTGAGGTCTTGGGGTTTGGGAGGCCTATTATTCACACTTCAAGTAAGCCTGCTCTTTAAAATCAAACCACCCGCCGTTTAATGTTGCAATCCTCCCTGTATGAGTGCTATTGGATCCACACTTTAATGTAATGATTTGTTAGTACTCGCCTTGCCTCATGCGGCAAGGGTCTCTACAGAGAAGACGTACTTACGTGTACAAGTTTTGTTCAATGCATTTCCATGGTATTCCGGTGCACACCACTGGCAGTTGGACCCTGTGGTATTGTAAAGACACTTAAGGCATTCGCCTGTTGTGGTGTTACAGTTACCGGTGTCTTCAGGATCTGTGTTGTTGTTACAGCTACACATGCGACATTGCACATCCTGTTCCTGTTAAAATTAATAGATAAATAAATACATGGATGAATACAGAGAGCAAAAGATGGGCAGTTCAACTTATTCCGTAAGCACATTTAAAAGTAAACAGATGACGGAAAGGCAGCTTGAACACGGCATAAGTTTAAAATGAAGCAGAGTTTTATATTTAAACAACCAAAGCATGGTAAAATTAATATGCAGAGATGGTGGAGATTACGGTGGCTTAACGATGATTCACTTGATCCTTCATAGGAGGATCTACATGTATTTCATACATCTTGAAATCCCTGCCATTAACATCATGAACAGAGTTGCATTTCAGTCTTCATCGAGTTCCCAAAGTATTCCGGGATTGCAATGGCTTTGCCTAATCACGTTCTGTGATTGGCTTGTAAATTCGGTGCAATTTTCTCAACCAAACGGCTATAAAGCTAAAAGTAATGTCAACTGGCACGTTTCGACATGCTTCAAACAGTATTCGTTTAACTTCTTTGCGATTTTAGCGCAGTTTTCTGTATTCTGATGGGTCACTGATTACTTTGGTTTTTGGTTTTACGACACTCAGTGGAAATGCCGTCTATCGTGTTCCTCGGCTCTCTGAGCCTCAAACTTACCCTTGGCCGCCCAAAGTAACCGTCCATACATCGCTCACAATACCGTCCCTTGTGACCCACAGTGCAGTTCACACAGGTTGGTAGACCGTCACTTGAAAGTACACAGGTCTTAGCGAACTGATTGACGGCATTTGGTCTGCTGGGGCATGGGCACGGGCTGCAGTCGTTAGGTGTGGCATTCGTTGCGTTGCCATACCAACCATCTGAACACTTTTCACAATGATCGCCTGATAAGCAATAACAAAATTTCACAAAGGTAAATTAAAAGAAGCTAAAATTTGTTTTTTTTTAGATCAAGATAAAATAATACCTTGATAAAATTTGGTCGCGCATAAATCGTCCAGAACACTGGAATTCCATCTCCTATCTCGAAGTTCTTTTCTACACACTTCTCCTACCTCGTTCACCCCATTTCTCCCTTCGAAGAAAGTTTTCGCTCTCTTTAATTTCATGCTCAACTCTCTAAATCTCACTTTGTAACTTTATTTTTATTCCACACCTGTGCTATTATGTTGACAGTCCAGACACACTCCAGTCTCAGGGTCGCACTTGTCTGAGTGTCCGTTACACTCGCACGGTGTACATGTCACGTAAGGTCCTCCATTTGGCGTGACACGTGTGTAACCACTAGCGCACTGTTCACAAAACTGTCCTTTGTACTCCACGGGGCATGTACAATTTTCAATGTTAAGAGCACTCTCCGTACCAGCAATAACAATGCTCCTTAAAAGTAAAATCAATCCATATCACAATTAGTATTATAAACGTAAAGCTATAAATTACTTAAAGCTCTGAGAGTAATCCTTATCGCACCCATTGCATGATGTCGTCAGATTAAACGTTCTTGTCGCGTGACGAGACCAGGAAACGGACTCGAAGGAGATTAGGATGTGAATCGATACTGCAAAGCAGTACACCAACTGTAAGATCCTTGTTAGAAAAGAAAAATTTTACTTTCCAATAGGACAGAATATTTATCCTAGGTTGCTTTAAAATCGTTCACTTGTTTTAACCATACACACAAGTTTAATGGTAGAAGCACTCGTTTCCTTGAACCCTTATTCCACAGCCTTTTCTCTCTTGTGTAATTATATTGTACTACACACCTGCTACTCAGAGTCAGTTCAATATCGGCCAAACGGGTAAACAGACTCGTTGTCAGAGTGGTCCACTTGGCCCTTATACGCAGTGACGTCAAATGACTTAATACAACAATCATTTCATAATTTGACGGCTGACGCCCAGAGATGTTTCCTACTCTCCAATTGCTATCAACAAGTTTTACCTAACAAAGAATAATGTACATCAAGATATCAACAACCACATTCTCACATTAGGGACCGAGACCCAACTCGACTTGTTTCTTGTTTTTGATTGGTGTCGCAGAAGTTCCAGGCTAAATAAAATGTGCATGACATAAGAAAGCAAGGTAACTTTTTGAAAATCTGAAAGGGCAGTTGTAAAGTGGACTACCAACAGTTTGATCGTTGCCAAGACTTCCCCAGACCTTTCAGTCTATTTTTGCTATACTAGAGATCTTTCATGGAACAAGTTTGTTTAGTCAAGATGGCTGGATGTTAGCCTCGTTCTTTTTTGTGTGTGTGTTCTTATGGGCCTTCGACTTCAGCTCCATAAAAACGCACAAAAATTAGGAAATTGGCCAATATTCAGTCTTATTACACGACTCGGGTAGTCAGAGGGCCAATAACTAAAATCAACCAATCAAAATGCTCTATTGCCGGTCCAATATTCTCTAAGTATTGGACCGGGCACTGTCCCGAATGGTCCCGAATGATACCGCACCTGTGTCCCTTTGAACTTCAGTCGTATAATAAATCTCTTATTAACCAAGCTTGCTCAGGACCGTACTGGAAGAATATTGGCCCTTGGTCTTTTTTGTACGGACCTCGCTGCACTCAGTCCGTACTGTCAAGACCTCTGGCCGATATTCTCCCAGTACGGCCCTCGCGCTTGGTTAATAACATATATATCTTCACCTCACGCTTGGTCAATAACTCATATTTATAATGACATCATTTGTGATGCTGCTGATAATAATAACACTCAAATTGATAATAATAGTCATCACCATCACATTACTGTCATTATCATTATTGTTGTGAGCATATTGTTATTGAACAATGTGTTATTGAGACTTACCTCATATTTCCTAAAATTGTCTCCATCTGTTGGAGCGGTATCAAAACTTGAGACAATTGGTTCGTCAAACCACTTGCCCTCAAGGATAACATCACCCTTAGAAGATGTTGCAGGGCTAGATGCATTGTCTTGCTGTAGATGGAATGACAATGTATATGTATATACAGATCTCTTGTCCCCAAGGTACTTGTCAGGAGCAACAAAATAGATATCATTTGAACCTTGAGTGTCAACTTTCATGGACCCCCTGAAGAAAAATAAAGAGGAAAAGATGATTTCTAAAGCTTGATAACAAGTGTATAAGGCTTAGTACGTGTATAAACCCCTTTGTCAATGTCCTTTTAATCTAATCAGTGTAAATGGCTACAAACACTCAAACATGATCATGTTGCATGGCGCACAAAAGGGACATGCTTTTGAAATTGTTTAAAAGTGTACTGTCCTGGTTTTCTAGATGTGAACAGATCAGACCATAGTCAACTGTATCTTTTACTTATAATAACCCCAACATTCTAAACGGGGTTCTCAACTTGGCCGATTTTTTGGTGTATTGGATTTGGCTGTTCTTATTGATCTCGGCAAGGTCACCATGAATGACACGCAAGTTTTAAGTGGAAAAAGTGAAATGTTACTTGAATTTGAGCCCAGAAGCTGGATAGTCTGTGACAGTCACTGAGCCTGAATTGACTTCAAGAATATGCCAAAATAATTGGGCACAGGGTCATATGTATATCTACATTTTGTAAATGTAACAACAAACTATGTTAACACTCACTTCTCAATGTTTATTGTGACATCCCAGTCCAAGAGTAAAGTGACCTGGTTCCCTGCACTGTCTACAGTAGTCCAACCATCCAAATCACTGTTGTCATTAAACACTGACAGACTTGTGTCAACATCTGACACAAACCATCCTAAGTCAGTAACACAGTCAGATGATTTATTTGAACACTGACACTTCAAACAACCTTGAGGATTCTGGACACTTAAACCATAATAACCAGCTGGGCACATGTCACACTGACGGCCTAGAGACTGGGCCTTACAGGGACACTGGCCTGTAGTCTTGTTACAGACAGGACTGGCACTTCCTGCGAGGTTACACTCACAGGATATACAACCTGTGAGAAAAAAGAGATATTTTAATCCAAAACCATTCAAAAACAATACTAGAAAAGTTAGTGTTAACCACAACCCACCCAAACAAGAGGGGGCAGTGACATCTTAAACCGAAAAAAAAAAAAAGAGATCACTGACAAAAATTGTCTCATGCTGCTCCTTTAAAATGGACAGAAGTTGTTCGGACGAAAACACCAAAAAATAAATTTAAACTTATCTCGAGATCCTTTGAACGGCTCTTAAACGCTCTGCTCCTGAACTGTAACACTATGCAATGACTACTAATTGTCGACAAGACTATTTGTCAAAGAGTGTCACCAGGTCGCATAAGTTATGCGACAACAACAAAAGCTATTACATAATTTTCTTTGTTATTTCAAGTTCTGAAACATCTCCTACACAGTTTTGTTATCAAAGTCTTCAACATAAGTTGTACTTTCTGATATCCTATGCTTCACTTAAAAGAGAGAGGGAAAGAGTATAGAATCCACCACCTGTATATTATGATCATTACCTTGGTCTGTCAGATTATAAAACTGATCGGTACATCCCGTACATTTTGCTCCAATTGATACCAGGCTTACAGCTGCAAACACCAGTGTTACCATCACATTGCAGACTGGTGGAGTAGGTGGGATTGCAGTCACAGGAAGAGTAGCCTGACCCACTGTTTAAGTTATAGTAGTTTTTTTTACATTGCTCACAATGTTGGCCTATTACATTCTCCTTGCAAGAACAATGTCCTGTTTCAGGATGGCAAGATGTTTCATTTGCACCAGTCACGTTACAGGCACATTCTACGAAAATAAACGAAAAAGGAACGTCACTTGATGAACCAAAACAATGATTGTACTTCCACGGTGCTACATAATACAGATTTATGACTATAAAATTAAAGTAACGCCGAAGCTTTCAGTTCTTCTTTGACACTAAAATTCAAATATTTTAAAACGTTTTGCGCATGGGCCACAAAACTTGGTCTGTAGCTTACAGCATGGACCTTGAAATCGGTTAGTAAGATATTTGTTATATCTCTGGTTTCAAATAGTGGGAGAAGACTTTAGTTCCGAAAAACTTTTGAATTTGGCAGGCCACACAATGAAATACAACCTGCTAAATCGAAAACTCAGAGCACACATACCGACTGAGATATACAATAAAAAGTTGTTATTTTCAATGTTAAAAGGCAATTAATCGGTAAAAATCCTACATCAGTAAAAGGTTACATTATGAAGCATTTAAAACTTTCCATCTTCCTATAGAATTTGTTTCAGTCAAGCGTTTCTTGCCAAGAAGAGTACATTATAACAACCTACAAGTACAGTAGGTTGCCAATTAAGCATCTCAGTGAGAAGGACCAAAATTTTTTACTTGATACTCACATTATATTACACGACTCGGGCAGTCAGAGGGCCAATAACTAAAATCAACCAATCAAAATGCTCTTTTGCCGGTCCAATATTCTCTCAGTATTGGACCGGGCACTGTCCCGAATGGTCTCGAATGATACTGCACTTGCGTCCCTTTGAACTTCAGTCGTTTAATAAATCTCTTATTAACCAAGCTTGCTCGGGATCGTACTGGAAGAATATGGGCCCTCGGTCATTTTTGTACGGACCTCGCTGCGCTCGGTCCGTACTGTCAAGACCTCGGGCCGATATTCTCCCAGTACGGCCCTCGCGCTTGGTTAATAAGATATATATAGTGCTCAGTTCAAGAATCACGGCAAAGATTGAGGTCTTGCCTAAGTAACAGACACTAGGTTTTAAAAATATTTTTTCCTCAATAGATTATTTCCATGGAAAAACAATTATTGTTTTTTGTTGTTGTAAACAAAAGTCTTATAAATATATGATCAATCAGTGTTTAACCGGAGATATGTGTGAATAGGTATATCCTAAACACGTAAAGCAAGTAACCACCTTACCTTGACAACCTTGACCAGATGTGAAGTTAAAATAGTCTGGCCTACACTGATCACAAGCGCGACCAACCACATTAGGCTTGCAGGGACATTGTCCTCCATTCATGTCACATCCACCAGGGTTGTTTGTCCCCCAGAGCTGCAGTTACATGCTGAATAAAAATGAAGTGAGTGTTGAATAAACTTTACAAACGGTGCAGTGTACATTGAACCTATCTACTGGTGATAGAAGTTACTGCAGTGAGTTTATATGCCTCATATAGACATTAGAGTTTGCAGTATACATACACAGAACGTTGTCGCGTTAATGATGATATTTACTCAAACAAGTATTGGAGGCATTCTGTGAAACAGCTGAGTTTCTGTAGAAGGTCTCCATGCAGAGCTCACTCTTATCCCCTGTTGTTTTGTGTTTGCAATCATTACAAACTCCATATCCTTTGGTTTCATTGTATGAGCAGCTGTCAGCATGACTGTTACATTCACATGCTAAAAACAAGAGTATGGGTTAACTTAATTAAAAAAAGTATGTAAAGGATTTTTGTTACCAGAGGTACGTAAACATACATCTCGGAGAGAAATTTAAAGCGCACTGAGGTAAAACATTTCATACTTAGATTGAGTTGTAGCTATCTTCGTGTCCAAACCCTTAATTAAAAATCATCAAGTTGAAGGAATTTAAGAATGGACCTGCATGAACTGAGATAGCAAATCTTTTCAACTGCAAAATGAATTATCGTTTTTTGTTTACTCGTTTCGATCAAAAACTTTTCTCGATTGCACTTTTGAACTATCGCAAAATTTAGAGGAAATGATTACCAAGAATACCATCCAATGCTCTGAACGGCCACAAGGAAAAACCAAGCAGGTAAAAAAAGAAACAGCTTTAAAAGGTCTTGCAAATTTATCTCAGCATCTAACCTCACCTTCACAGGCTTCTCGTATTTGGTAAGATTTGTTATTATAGAGTGGTAAACACTTTTCACAGTTTGGACCATCAGTATTCCTTTCACATATGCAGTTGGAAAAGTTCTAAAAGTTTACAAACACATAAAAGATTACTGGTATATCAAAATTCATAAAAAAATTAACAAATTCATTGCTTGTTCATAATGAATCAGCTTGTAAAAATTCTGTCCATGTATGTGCAGCAACGATTGGTATATGATCATTTATTTAGGTCTTGACTAGAAGAAGATCGTATATAAATTTCAGACTCAAAAGGATTTCCGGTATAATGTGATGCAGATAAACCCGATTTTAAAAAGGTTCTTTCAGGCTTCACACCGACCCTTTAATCCTGAATCTATCTATGACTTTCAAACGTTTTCCTTAGGGATTGTGCATAAAATCATCAATTACTTTTTCTTCAGTACTTATCTTTACTTTGGGGCATATTCAGTAGCCTTAAAAAAAAAACTGGCCATAATGGGGGCAGATGATATGTAAATAGGTTTATTAGTTCACTTTGATTTTCGCTGATGAAGAGGACGACCATGTCTCTGCATGACGTCGCTACATTTAAGTGAACATGAAAATAGCTAAGAGGCACATAACACAGAATGCAGATGCATGTTTGTTAGGACCATATCCATCTGAAGTAATTCTTATTGGATCACTAAACCTGGCTCCGATGCAATCAGAGAAAAACACTTAAATCCTCACATTGTACTTACACCTGAATCACACTGGGATGTCTGGCCATTGCAGAAGCAGGATGCTAATACAACCCAATCTGACACAGTGAAAAAGTAGCTTCTCTTGAGACTATTTGGTAACGATTCTGGGTCAACGTCACCAGGAATTATAAACTTCACTAGAGCCATTCTTATATCAGTCATAAGAAAGAAGGACTGTTTCTCTGTATCAGTGAGAAGGTTTTTTGCAACAGATGCATCCTTCATTGGAGTATAAGAGAGCTATCAAAAAGAGAGGGATACATTTTAATACTAGCTCCAACATTTATAAAATTCACTTCTCTTCATAACCGATTCTTTTACCTCAGGGGTGCACCATGTACAACTCTCTCAACCAATCAAATGCAGAACTAAATCGTTACTAAGCTAAGCTTAGTCACTCACATTTTCCAGCACTTCAAGTAGTTTGCTTGTTTCATATCAGCAACGTGGCCCATGGTGATATTTTCCTTTTTATCTGATCGATCGTTGTGATAACTTTGGTTTTGGTTTTGCAATACAAATATAAAGCACTTGAACTCTAAAAATCCAATTTAATTTATAATTTTCACTCTAACATTTACTTCCTCAAATTAAACGTTGAAATAACGGACACATTAACGAATGAACATACTCTACAATAGACTAGCAAATAGATCATCACTATAGTCGAAGGTAATATAGGTAAACAAAAGCACCCAAAAATGCTTCTAATTACAATACTGCATGATACCGTGAGTTATGGGTGAAGACATCAGGTACCCTTTAACGTGCGTTTTTGTGTTTCATGGGTTTTTTTTTCCACGCGCCTTCTGATTGGCTTAAAAAGAAACGGATGGTTCATAGAGATGGTTCATGTTGACATTACATTGTCGGTGAAAAGTTCTCGTTGAGTTTAGCCGCAAGGTTTCAAAACTTTGAACCTTGAGAAATACTTTTTAGAACTCAAATAAAAAGAAAATACGCTGAATAATACTCGTTTCGAAAAATACTGAATGAGTACGTATCTCTCTAAAGCGACGAAATTAGCTTTGGAGTCAACGATACTTTATTCCCAAACGCGATGCAAAACATGGCTGAAAACAAACTGAGTTTCCTTACTTCAACTGTAGCTTTGCGACGTGAGGAACTCTATATTAGAACAGTAAATATTAGTTGAAGCGTCGATCAGATTTTTTAAATCTGCAATTTTTAATTTTAGCATATTATGATATATTCATGTAATTAGTTGTTAGCATTGACGGCGGAAGAGCTCTAGACAGGGAGCTGTTCAAATAAAGTATGTATGTATGTATGTATCTGTCCCAAAGTGTTGTTCAGCAAAGGATTTTGTTTAGAAATCGAACATTTTCAGAATTTTCAACACAAAGCTATGCAATTTCTGGTCGTAAACTCTAATCAACAACAATTCAAGAAGGTAAATCTACCACACCGGTTTCGTATATGCAAGAATTTGTAAGTTTTACGCATCGATGGTTTTTTATTTTTGTCAAACTTTGTGTCGTAACTGTAAGAGTAGTCTCTTTCGCAGCCATTGTTTGGTCTCGTCACAGAGAGGAGAGAGATGGGAGAGAGCGCGCTGCGTGACGAGACCAATCAACGGCTTCACCGGTAAAAAAAGTCGATGGAAAGAACTCCAAAAGATCTTGAGGAGTTGTTGGTGTTATTTCGTGAGTTTGCTAGAAAGTTCCTGAAAAGTCTTAGAAAGATACAGAATGATGAAAACCATCTGCGCTACTGGCAGTCTACAAATAAAAACTGTGAGATAACTATTCTGTCCGTATCAAATTTCCTTATGCAAATATTTTCAAAGTGTAGAAGCTGCGTTTGCCTCAGTGTTTTTCATTCGTACATCACTTTTCAGCCGACTGTTGCTTAACATTTGCAATGTGACACCATGATCTTAGTTTACAGGGTTTGTTCCTGCCTGCAGTTGGAAGCAAACTTCTCAGACTTCTGCCTCTGGACGCAGAAAGCATTTTTTGTGATCGCAAGCTTTTTTAAGTGTGAAGTGAACTTAAAGATATGTGGCAGTGAATTCCACAAGTTTAATTTTCACAGGATTATTCTCGTCTGCAGAGTGTTGCCATTAAGTTTTAACATAAGGTAATGGAAATAAATCAACTAGCCAGTGAAATTTTTAACTGCTCTCACTGCTCGTGTTTCACATCAAATCGTAAACAATCGAAGATCGTAGTTGCCACATTTCACAGTCAAGCTTATCCTTTCCCAAAAACTCCACATTCGAATAAATACCGTAGATCATTCCTCCCGAAAGTGGACTTTTAACAATCAAATTGCAGAAAAGAGGCTCTAAATCGAAACTCGTCATTTCGTTTCCACTTCGAGCTACCGATTGCCATACGAAAATTCCCTTACATGCTTACTTACATATATGCAGCATGACGGCAATATGGTTATTGGATTTACCAGTAACCATGAAAACATCTATCACTTAATCTGTGGAAAAACTTTATTATAACTTAAACGTCGCTGTAGAACCTGATTATATGTATACATGGGCCAGTACCAGTGGGACACACAAGAAAGTGTCTGTGTTATTCAGCCTGTACTGTAATTCTCATTTGGAGACAACGATGTTAATCCCAGTGTGCAGAGATCTTGCACGTGCATTATATGCAGCGGTTTTGGCATGCAAATGAAAGTTCGAAAAAGAACTCGCACGTGCACACGCCATACCCTCCCTTTGTTTCAACAAATTTTAGACTTAATTCGAATAAATCGACGTAATTTCTCTCATTATGAAATTTTCCTATAATTCCGGATCCCCTACAACGGAGTCGTGGCAATCCGTGATACGAGCGTTATTACATATTAGAGGCTTACCTGCTTATTGAGATTTGTAGCAGTGTCTATTTTGAAACATTGCACTTTCAAACCCGCTCTATCCTTTTCTAGCGTTTCTGGTAGATTAAAATACTTTGTACAGTTCGTTGCAAAGTATGTTAGAGGATTCCATGTTCTTCCAGAGTCATTTGACTTCAAAAGGTACATTGCAGCCGGTAACTCGTGAAAAAAAGTCGCCACAGACTGATAAAGCATGAAAGTTCCTTTAACCCCTAGTTGTGGGAGAACAGGAAACTTTAAATTTTTTGACTTCCAGAATGTATTGTCTCTAAAATCGTCGTTTACAAAACTGGCAGGATGTTCAAGATTTGGATCGTTCGCATCGCAAATTTTACTGCAACCCAAGTTAACGCAGTATGGCTCTGGCGGGTCACCGCAAGTTGAGTTCGTTGTAACATTAAAATACTTCGAAATGTCCAAGGGAGAAGGATACCAAGGTCCAGTACTACATGAAACTTGGCCCGAGACAGCTGCAAACATCGCAAATAAGCACAATAAGAAGAGCAGGTTCGAAGTCACACAATTCGAACTCGGCCAGCGTCCCCAGATTTGCTGCATTTTCAAAACTGCCCTCCTCCTATTACAATATTATTGTGGGTGTGATTCAGCGATGATTAACTTAGTTTTACTGTAGTATCGAATGACTTTTGTATTAAAGTACCCTGAGCTTAAATAAATCAGGCTTGCAATATTTACAGTGTTTACATATTCTCATCTGTATTCGATGGGGGTTGAGAGAATTCGAGAAAGTCGGTTATGCAAACCCGAGACGCAGTCTCTCTCACTTCCGAGTGGAGTGAAATGAATAAAAAGATACATTGTGGAGTGAAAAAAAAACCTTGAAACACTTCAAGCTACATTTACTCTTTCAGTTATAATCTGCACGCGACGTTTATCAGTATACCTTCCGTAGGCAGTTTTTGTCTCTTACAGAACCAAAGTAATCAAGCAACAAAGCTATTCTGAGTTTCGTGGCTTAATGGAATAAATACTCTCTGAATAGCAATCGCGTTCTATTTTGACTTGGTGTTTTCGGTTTACTTTCAAACTATAAACGCACTCAAGCAAAAGAACAACTTACTAAAGCTAACAGCAACAGAAAGGGAATCACTGATTCTAGACTTGAAAAAAAATTTGAAAACGTAATTGATCAAGAACTGTTTTATTGTTATTGTTCAAAGGATTACAGACGGAAGGCGATTAAAGTGCTTGCTGCATTGCTCCTATACTGTCAAGTACAATGTAATACTTTAGGTTCGTAAATCAATATCACCAAAATGCGCCAATCACAGTAGAGGATAATTTTTCAGGCCGTTTATAGAAAAATTCATGCAACCCAAATGTTAGCCCAGTACAATTAAATAATTAATTAATAATTAATAATTAAACAATTAATTAGTCCTATCGCCAGTGAATTGAATATTCCAAACTTGTCACGCATAATCTGAAAAAAAAAAATCCAACATTTTATTCAATCCTATTCAACTCAATCTTGGCCTCAAATTTTTTCGCCGTTTTCGGAGTCCGTTCTTTAAAAAGCTGAAGATGTTTTACATAATGTAGATGATTTGTATTTTGACGAGCCCGTAGGGCGAGTCAAAATACCACACAACTCGTAAAAATACTCATTTATTTGATTCGAGCATTGCAAAGGACACTGAGATACGTCCAACCATCGGGCTTATTAAATGTCCTTCGATAAATTCACTTACAGGCGCCTGCACATATATGCTAACATTGTTACGGAATCAAATTACTACCATTGAATAAAGGCTGATAGTTTCGAAAGAAACTGTTTGGGGCTGCGTTGGTGGGAGTAACGAAATAATTTGGATATATCAACAAAGTTGAAATGGTAAATTGGCCACCCTATTCGCTCCGACGAAGGGCTAACGCTCGAAACGTCAGCTTTTGTAATCATTACGGTGGCCAATTTACCATTTCAACTTTGTTGATAAATCCAAATTATATCAAATTACTACCAGTGCACCAACTCTAACAACGGTTCATAAATTGACGCGTATTTAGTCTACCTCATCACCTGACGAAGATTAAAGGTTTAAAGCCGAAACGTGCCGATTCACATTGGAAGTTACGAAGTCGAAGGACAACTGCAAACGTTAAGACCTTATTTCTAAAACTTTAATTAAGGAATCCCAGAAAGAGGAGGGAATATGTCTCCTGAATAATTCTTAGATTAGATAGCAAAATTCCATCTTCATCTTAACGCCTCGTCGCAGATGACAACGTCTCTAAATAAACGCCGTTTGCCTAGAGACGTTGTGCATGCGATCGGCTCCCGATAACTCGGACCTTGAAAGAAAGTTTCGAGTAATCGGGAGATGAGAACAAATGACTGGAAATAAGTAAAAAGAGTAATTGACTGTAATACTCTTCAGCCAGTGTAAATTCGGTCAAATTCAGCTCTAATGAAATATCGATTAATTAATGGAAACTGAAATATTTTGAAGAGGGATTTTAGAAACAAAGCTTCGCGAAGTTACAAAGCATTGCAGTTTAAAGAGACCGTAAAAAGCGAAACCTAAACTTGACTCACAAGTGTCTAGTAATTCTAAAAATATGCAAAATATAAACATTGCAAATAACGTATTTGCATTATCTAGCTCCTATTGTGAAAGGAGACCTCGTTCTGTCCGCAGCCTAAAGTTCATTCTATGACCTCTGAGTAAACTTGTGAAAACCTAAAGGCTGATAGTTTCGAAAGAAACTGTTTGGGGCTGCGTTGGTGGGAGTAACGAAATAATTTGGATATATCAACAAAGTTGAAATGGTAAATTGGCCACCGTAACGATTACGCTCCGACGAAGGGCTAACGCTCGAAACGTCAGCTTTTGTAATCGTTACGGTGGCCAATTTACCATTTCAACTTTGTTGATATATCCAAATTATTGTGAAAACCTACATTGATTTTCTTTTAATCATACCAGGAACCCGTTACCTGTCCTATCTGTCAGCAATAGCTCTTGAAGTTTTAAAAGTTTGCTTCCTCAATTTAATACCCTTTTTTGATCCTATTTCATGTAAATTATCTTTGCTTATTGGTTCTCGTTCTTTTCAATTTACTTTTAGGTAGGACCGGAACGAGTCCAGAGAGCGTGTCCATGTTCATGTTTGGTATCCATTGATCTTCATGTCTTTTGTGTAATCGTAGTACCCCAGTCGAGTCTTGTTTCGCTTACCATAATTTTATCGTAAGCAATACAATTCAAAAGCATAGTTTTACTTTCACGTTTGACCTTTTGTAAACCAGAAGTTTCTTTTTTAGATCCGAAGGATAACTTTAAGAACTTGTCTTAAACATGCTTTTCATGCGTTTCAAATTATAGGGTTACGTTATAATCGATTTCACTATCATAGTGGAATCGATTCATGATAACGTAACCGATTTCACTATCATATTTTTATACCTATTTTCCACGCACCCTCAGAATATGGAACAAACTTCCGAAAGATATTGTTGAAAGCATCTCTTTAGAGACTTTTAAAACTAAGATTTCCAAGTATTTTAACGAGAAACTTTAAACTGGTAGATATTATTTCTATTGTTGTTATTAACACTTTTTGTATTTTTAACGTTGGTGTGATGTCTAACGACTTTACCGACGTATTTTAATGTAGATGTAGATGAAGTGCATTGGTGTTTTCATTCGAACAGAAAAAAGATAGTAGACAGTGTTCTTACGCACCTTTGAAAAGGGATAGTGCACATATATCTTGCTTTTGATTCTCGCGTGCATTTGTCAAATTAAACATGTGAAGTACGTTTCTGCATGATTTACATTGTTTTCTCCCCTACATAGGGGTGGCACTCGACAGGGCCGTGATGGGTAGTTTAGGGACTGAGATAACTAAAGCAGGGGTAGATTTAGATATTACCATCAAACCAGTCTCCATAAATGCATATCTCATTAGGAGCAGATAAAGGTGTTAGCAAAACAAAACGAGTAAGGTACAGTGATTAACATCCTTCGTTTTTTCGCCGCGGCGAAATAAATCTGTTAAGGATTGTCTCCAAAAGTAAGTTGTCATTAACACTGCAACTCTGTTGTCTTAACATTTTTTCTTGTTCAGTTTAGTGGAGAAATGCATGGGGGTTTGATGAGCCTTGCTTACACTCACTCGGTGCTTCTGCGCGACTAAAGAGAATTCAAGTACTGTCACGATTAACTTGCCGTCACTATTTGTATACTCGATTGCAGAAACGTTCGCATCTAAAAAGCAGTTTTATTGCTAAACATGCTCATGATAACCAACATTAGTTGCACATGGTGAATAATGAAAGCTATCCAAGCTTTCCTGAAACAAAAGAATTCATGATCTTAAAAAAAGATTCTCCGTGAATAATAAAAAAAGTATGATTATATAACTGTACGAACATTTCCCAAAGAGCCGTTCGGTCTCATCGTCGGTGGCTCACAACTTTTTGTGTGTCAGTTTTAAGCAGTGTATTCAATTTTCCAAACCATGGGCTTCCTTCAAATTCAAATGGTGGCTGTTCAGTGAAATCAAACTGACTGTCATGGCAAATCAGTTGTATAGCCAGCACCAGATCGAACATTTACTCATTTATTAAGAGCAAAAACTAATAAAGATCTATTTCAAAAAATAAACCTTATGAAAAAAATTGTACTTATAACTTAATAAGCTTTTTATTTTGTTCAGGGAAAGTTGAAAGCCATGATTATTAACGTTCTCTGTTTAAAAACAAATAGTAATTTAAGACCTCAATTCAGTTTGTTTGTTATTATTCGAGCACCAACCGTTAAAACTCGACAACTGTAATTTAGCTATCTCCAAATGGTGATGGTTCTTATTTATTTTGATTTAAAGTGCACAATAATCTTATTCAGTTCAGAGCAATATTAATTCTATTTTGTAATTTCCGTTATCACTGACTCGTACTGAATATAAAGTTTGCTTTCAAGTCAAAGTTTAAAACGGCTCGCTGCATTCTTGAGTTTTTTCAAAATACAAAATTAAGTTTAAATATCTTCATCACTTTTTTTTGTCACTCCTGCTTCCATGTTAGTATTTCCTTCGTTTGGCTACAGAAGAAAAAAAAACTACTAAAGTAATAATGTAAGAGCTCGTTGCCCGAGAAGAGATTGGCGTTAATTTAGGATAGCTAAAATTCAAAATTAGTCTGATTTCACTCGTCAATGAAACGAATGGATATCAGGACAAATGAATCGTGGGATTTTATCTTTTCTTACGGCAAAAACGAGCAATCAAAATTTAGACGGTAAACCTCTTTTAAAAGTCATAAAATTAAAGAAAAACTTTGTATTCATCTAGAATGATTAGCATTTTCGCGTTCTAAACAGCCCCACCCACCAAGAAGCACTGAAAACTACCATTGTATGATTGTGGTAAGGCAATCACGCAGTGCAAGAGTGGGATGGTTTTCAAAAATTGTAAGTTTGTGACTTCAAATAGTAAACCGACTCCTCTTCACTATTTAGCCTCAGGAAGTTTTTCCTTCTAAGTCAACAACAAGAGTGACTGTAGTGACAAAAAGGTGGCAGTTGATTTAAGCGAGTACATTTATAATCAACCCCAAGTACATAAAATGTATTCCAGGTGGCCACATTTACTCAAAAAGCGTTCGCGTACCGATTATTGCAATTAAAAGCAGGCATTTTTTTTTCCAATTAAAAGCAACGAATAGACTGAATTGAGGCGGCGAAATGTCTTCTCGGGTCTTGAGGAGAAAAAAAAAAAATTTATGGGGCGTGAATGAATTAGCTGAGAAAGAGGTTTTTTTTTTTTCTTTCTGGAGAAAGATAAGGTATTAATCAATAATCTGTAGAATGTTAACCGACAGTGACAACCTACAACTCTAAGTAAATGGAATCAAGAATGACTCTTTTCACTCCACTGACATAATACCGGTAGGTGAAAAAAGAAAAAAAAAAAAAAAAATTCAAAGAAGTAATAAAATCTAGTTTCAAGCTCAAAGTTTACAGTAACATTTATGACGGTAAAGATGTGGTAGAACATGATGAGCAAAGGAATGACTCCTAAGAGATAAAATTATGTTTGGAAAATTTATTTGATATCAGTGAAATGGAGAAAGATAAGGTATTAATCAATAATCTGTAGAATGTTAACCGACAGTGACCACCTACAACTCTAAGTAAATGGAATCAAGAATGACTCTTTTCACTCCACTGACATAATACCGGTAGGTGAAAAAAAAAAAAAAAAAAAAAAAATTATGTTTGGAAAATTTATTTGATATCTGTGAAATGTGGAAAACACCCTTAATTAGTTTTTGATTTCATATCCTTAAAAGGCCGGAATCGTCGGCATTGATCACGTAGAAGTGTTTATGCTAAAACAGCCAAAACAATGACAGATTTATAATTAGAGCTTCATTTCATTTCAATTCCGGTTCAGTCAAGAGAATTATCGCTGGAGTGTTTTTGTTGACATTTCACGAGGAAATAAAATGCGGCCGCTTTAGGAGTTGGCATCTCTCCCTAAAACTCAGCGATACAAGAGGAACGGCCCGTCGTGAAGCTAAACCAACATGAACGTTAAATTTATTCTGGTTTTTACACTTGTCTTTCTCGCAACTTATTTCGTAGGAGAAAATGAAGCCTTCACCGCTGGTGGAGGGGGGAATCTTCCTAATGGAGGAAGAAAGCGTGACTTAGCGGAGTCTGTAAGTTCTCACAATTGTTATTTCTGTTGCTGCGTTTTTTTAAGTAATGCTCAATAATACGTTTTGCGTTGAACAACACTTTCCATCTGCCTTTTAACTTTGTGACTCCCTAGAGTCCTTAATGTTAATATTCTCCTGTTCAAATTTTTAATCGCATGCTAAGCACAAATAATGAGAATGAACAAATCATTCAAAATGAAGTTTTCGTCTAAATAACACACCACATTCCGAGACCCAACCAGCAAGGAAACGTGTGCTAATGATTGGAAGAAATTACTTTGAGATCTTGGTTGTGAACGGGTTGATTTGTTCAGTCTATCTAGTAAGGCTGATATTCGAAAACTGAACCAGCTACTTGAGCTTCGCTCTGGTACAGGAATAAATATCGCCAGCAACGACGCGTGGGTAACGTGAGAATGTGTAAGCTACACAAAAAGTTAATTGCGCACCATTCTGCCCAAGAAATTATCATCACCAAATGTTCTTTGTCCATTTGTGTAAGGGTAGGTCACATGCACCCCAAAACCTCTCGCTCTCCCTTCGTTCCATCCATACTCTTGGTTTTCATTCACCAGTGATTTGTTTTATTACAGCACCAACTGGCCGGGAGAGCCTTGTGTGCAGCTGCTAGGGAACACTGCAAGCGGGAATTGATTTTGGAGGACATCAGTGAATGAGGAGGCCTTGGCGAACTGGACTGAACGCAAACTTCCTATTGTATCTTGTGACTATTGTAAAATCGCCCATTAATTAATAAAGAGTGAAATAAGTAATCTTTAATCAGATGTCGCGTTTGTTAATGTAGGTTTATATATATATATATATATGCTACTTGTTTAGAAAGCATAGAATGTTGAACAATACTGCGGTGCATGAGGGTGAGAAGGGAAAAAGTTTCGAATATAAAAAATTCACAACTCTTGCAACCAAGGTTCCCCATCTTGTGACCAAGGCTGTAGCTTACATACAGCAAAAATTTCAATAGTATGAGAGTAGGGTAATTACAGCACGCTGTTACGGTGAGACTGCAGGATGCTCACGAATCGTCGAGTGAGTGACCTTACTTAACTCCTTCACTGTGACTGTAACCATTAACATTGCCCTGATAAACCCTTCACACCCAAACATCAGTATACGTATTCTCCATACTCCCCTTAGTTCCTGACAAGGAGAATTAATTAAACAATGTATAAGTATTTACGATATTTAGAAAGGCCAGCCCAGTTCAGCTTGAAGCTATACATCCCACCCATCCCACCTCAGGGGGAGCACATCCATCACACAGTAATCTCGTGTGTGGGAAATTAACGTCTCCAACCCCCAACCCTGCAGGAGACGGGACCTCCATTTATTCGTCCCTATCCGAGAAGACTAGAATATCTAACCATTTCTTGATGTTATAGAAAGGTAGCAAATTCTTCTCAATTATTTTAAGACCTTGAGTGTTGGTCCGGCCGGGGCTCGAACCCTCGAGCCCGCGGACAACAGTCCAGCGCACTATTCATTGGGCTAACTGGGCGGCGGTTATCATTTCCTTCATTCTCGTGACCTTCATTTGTGATTCGGAGGTGATATTGACAAGGAGGAATTAGAAGCTGGTCACTCTTAGCGGCCAAAGAGTTTGAATGACCGCTGACCATAGCTCTTAACGCAAAGAAAGCCTACTTTTACAACTCTTTATTTTTATCGAAAACGCTTCGTTACAAACGCTTTTAACATATACATAGGAAAGTCCGTGCGATAACCGATTGACCTCAGTCGTGTGCAGCGGCCTGGAAAGATGGTACACTTATCATTTTTTTATCACTGTGATATGCTACAAAAGTTATTTTAAGCTGAACGAAACACATAACGCATAAAGAATATAATCCCGTACAACCTGCTTCGCCGCGTGACATCTTGTGTGACCAGCACACATATGCGTCACGTTAACCAAGAGGCGAGATCTAGTAACGTGGAATATACCAAGGACAGATTGATCCATCTCAAGCGAGTACAAATAATCTGTCTAAGTGCGAACAACGTAGAAGCACAACTAATCATCAGTATCGCACAAGCGAATGAAAAGGATTAACGACAGTCAAACAAAAATTATCGCACAAAAACTGAAATTTATTGAGAACAGATTTTTGCTTCATGGAAGCAATTACCTAAACAAGGAAAAACTACGACTTGAAAATCTCAAAGGTTTTGTATGATTTAACTCAACGCACGCGTATGATAATCTAAACTAATGTCAAGCAGCCAGTAAAGCGTCATTCGATGACTAAAACAAAACTAGTGACAATTTTCGTAAGTCAATATTTTTGTCAAGGCTGAGAGAGAAAAGGTCTAGCGGCGCACTGGGTCTAAGAGGTCAAAATATCTCCTAACCGTCCTTTCTTTCGCTTTGAACAGGTTACGTGGGATTTCCTCAAACCTCATTGGCTAGCTACTCTGTCATAGTTTTTCTTGACCAATTAGATTTAACATTCATTGTACACTATTTCTAAGCATTTGACACTGAAGTGTCTTCCTTGAGTTCGAGGGTTGCAGTTACATTGTCACCTGGATTGTCAAAGTCTTCTGAGACCACTTTACTTTTAACGATCTCTTTAATTTAATCTAGGTTGAAAAGATATTTCGATAGGATCTTAGGCTAGCGAGTCCTTTCACTCACTTTGTCGCGATATCGAGCAATTGAAAAAAAATTTGAGTACAAAGAGCAAATAAGTTTCAACATTTAAATATTTACAAGCAACAATGTCTTATTTGTTTTACTTAAAAATTCCTATACATTCTATTATCCTTTGTGCAATGTGGCTTTGGAATTTGAACGCATTCCGCTAAACTAAAGCAAGTCACGGTATTTGTGAAACAAAGTTTCAATAAATATTCTACTTTTGGAAGAAAAATCTGCCCTTGTCTCTTGTCACTAAGGCTCTGAGGGATTCTAAAATACAAAAAAATGGATGTTAGCCAGAACATATAGCGACAGAAATCGGATGCATGCCAAATTTTTATCACGTTTCTCTTTTTCATTTAAAATTTAATTCAATTTCGTTGAAATGTTACCGAGTGCCTGCACAGCAGATCGAAGAAAAAAAAATATCTTAAACAAAAAAGGGGCATGAAATTAATTTTTTTCTAGAAACTATTCAAAATAACGAAGCTTCAGCTCTTAAATCACGCGAAAGGAAACAAGGATAGGACCAGAAACTTGAAAAAATAAAATTTTCCGTTCATCTTACCTGTAGGCCTTATGTTAAAGGCTCTTTGACTGCTCGTATAACTTGTATATTACCGTTATCCATAACTGAGGCTATTTCGCTTATCGGGGATTGATAAGCTTGTCTAAAGACCTAGGAACAATGTTAAACAAACGTGATTAGCAACAAAGACACAGCGGAGAGGCCAAAGAAAAACAGAGAGCAACGCTGAAAAAAAAAAATCACAATAGATACTATAGTAAAAAATACCGAGCGTCAATTTAAAGAGGTCGTGAACAAGCTGAACAGTATCAATATTCCAATCCCACATTTGATAAGCATTTTGTTTTGAGAACATGGAACTTACTAACGAGAAAGATAAAACGTCTCAAGAACTACTGAATTCTAAATGAACATCCCAAAATTCAAAAGGGAAAAAGAGTATTTGTCACAGATGCATTCACTGAGAGTTTACGACAGAGGAGGCTATGGACCATGTAGATCGCAGACTGATTTGAAAGACGCAAAATAAAGAACAAAGAAGTAATGTGTATGTTCTTACCTGAGGTCCAAAGGAAGGTTTTCCCTTTTTCTCTCTGTATATCAAGTAAGCTACAAAAGTTCCCATGGCGACGGCAAAAGTAACGAACACAACGCCAAGAGCTATGATACCATCATCACTGACACCTGTTGCTTTAGGCGGTTCAGTCACCGCAGACTCCTCTACACTGTGAGGGCAACAAAGAAGCAATTAAGAAACATAACACCTTGACTGAAAAGGTCTCCTTGGGAATAAAGCCAAAAATAGTTTTAGTGTGAGGGAAGGAAAGAAAGGCAAAAAAATAAACATGGTAACTTGTATTATTACCTTGGGGGGTGGTGATCACTTGGGGTATTGAGGCTCCCTCCTGGCCACACGATCTTTTTCTTTATACTGAGTCCATGATCTGGGGAGGGGTCGTAAGAACCAACTTTAACCCACGAATCCCCATTTAGATTCACGACATCATAAATGGCTGGCGCATCTTGATTGGAATCGAAGAACTGTTTTCTGCCGGTTGAGCTGTCAAATCCTGTACTTGCGTCCTTCATTTTGCGTAGTTCTGTGATGAGCTCCTTTTGCACATCCACCCGGGAGGAGTACTGTGAGGCGGAGAGCGTTCGGATGAATAACATGCAAGGAGGAGAGGGGTAGGGTGGAAGTAGGAACGTAACGCATGCAAACGTGCTCATGCTCCAGTTTTATTGGCACTTTAAAATTTCGTGGGTCAAATAATCAAAGGTTCGTTGTTGTAAGTTTATCAAAACATTTCCGCTTTCTAGTACGTCGACTTAAACGAAACCTAAAGCCAAGAGTACACATTCGATTAAATTTACCGGGTTTATCGAAAACACAAATTTAAGAGAGAGATTATCTAGTGTGCAGACATCTTAAAAGGTATGCGTCATGAATTCACGAATTTATTCATTAACAAACTCACCTTATTTATAGTTCCCGCTTCGTGAAGTCTTGTTAAAGCATGCGCATAAGCAAGAACAGAATCGTAGACCTGAGCGACATATGCAGAAGCCTGTGGAATGAATATTACCAGGAGTTAACGGTTGAATAGGATAACAGAAGAAAGATACCGATCTCTTTAAAATTCTTGGGTCAACTCACGTGGACCTAGGTTAAAACACAATTGGATCTCAAGAGCATCTAGACTGCGGTCTTAGCGATTTATTCAGGCTAAACCAATCATTTTAAAAACCTAAATCAGAGAGGAAGTCGGTGGGAAAGGATGGTAGAAGTGTGGATGAGATAAAGAAAATACAAACCAACCTGTAGCACCCTAGGAGAATGGATAGGACCTGGGTACAAGGATGCGTCTTTTTCTTTCCAGGTCTTTAGCAGTTTTTGGTATAGTGCTCCTTCACCGTGTTTAGGCCTGGTGCCTACCATGCCTTGCATGGCTAGTTGTAAGTTGGGAGACTCTACGAACGGTGACGTGGTAGCACCGTCGGTTCCAATCCACGTCCATCCTTTACCAGTCATGCCCTAATAACGAAAGAAAAAAAAAAGGAACGATATGACTACGGATGACAAACACAATTCCAGCTAGGAAAGGAGAAAGAGGTTCTTTAAAGTGGGGATATACTTCTTGTGAAACGATAGTACTTAAACTACTGATAGTACTAAAACGACCGATCCCTCCACATGTTGTATTGATAACAATAAAATAATCAACTTGTTACCTGCTCTATCGCTTCTTGAAAAACTTTTTCTGCGTCATCAGTCGTGGCGCTCACCAGGTTTACTGCTGTCCCAGCTTTCTTTATCTGTTCAAAAAGAGATTTGTGATACATTTGTTCCGTTAGAAATGACCACAATTCCGTTACCCCCCACTGAAGTGGAGTACTGAGAAAAGCCGAAAAGCAAAGGGCCGCCCGAGGGCAGGTGGAAAGGAGAACAAAACTAAAAGCTTTAAAAAAAAAAACATTGGGTTGAACTTATGTTCATTTTACAGTCATCCCCACCCTTGCATACGCTTTTTTCCTTTTTTACCCACCGGTCACGAGATTGCTTATCAGTGGAGTGGGAACCCATTTTCATGGGATCCCATTCATTAACACCAAAGGAAGCCATAAAGGTTGCTAGTGAAACTACTGATTAATATATTTAATACAATACAAACAAACGAACTTTCAGTAGCTACCTGTAGTAATTACACATCCACTGGTACTAAGACACTCACCCCTTTAAGATATTCCTTAATACTCGACTTTGTTTGTGCTTCAAACCGCTGCTCAGTAATAATGTCGACCCCTTTCTTCCGAACTTCCACTGCAAACTTACGAGCGAGCTCTTCACTGTACAGATCAAGTGTTGTTACGGTCGACAACTGCGTCCACTTGTATCTTTGAACAAGCTTGGCCAAAGCTTTCCCTTGAAACACATCAGACGCGCATGTGCGAAAGACGTGTGGATAAGTTTTCTTGTCGGATAATTGCGCAGACGTGGAAGCGTACGACATTTGAGGGATGTTCTTTTGTTTCGTGGCTTCAGCGATTGCGATGGAACAGGCCGACCTGGCTTCTCCGATGATAAGATCCGCGTCGTCCGGAAGATTCTGAGAGGGAAGACATAATGGTCTTTCATAAACAATACATCAATCAGCAAGTAAAGAGATGACAATAAACCATCTCATCATCTGTAGGGTGTTATTTATTATTTATTATTTATCTGTAGGGTGTTATTTATAGTGTTATTATGTTAATACATCAATCAGCAAGTAAAGAGATGACAATAAACCATCTCATCATCTGTAGGGTGTTATTTATTATTTATTATTTATCTGTAGGGTGTTATTTATAGTGTTATTATGTTAATACATCAATCAGCAAGTAAAGAGATGACAATAAACCATCTCATCATCTGTAGGGTGTTATCCTTTAAAATACAAAATTTTAGGAAGTAGTTCATAGAACAAATAAGCAATGAAGAGCCTGACAACAACAGACCATGTCGTTTACAACGACTAAAACCAGAGTTTGAGTTATTTTCGTACCTGTGCTGCACGTCGACAAGTTTCCGCATTTTCTCCTCCATCAACAAGAACATAACTGAAGGCCACTTTGAAAGGGCCCGTATTTACAAGCTCCACAGCGACTCTAAAGGCTGCCTGCCACTCTAGCCCCAGGTCCCTTAGCGGCCCAAGATCTTCATGAGTGGGGAAGAAAGCGGCGATCTTGTAAGTTGGTCGATCTTTGCCCGGAATCCTTGTCATGCCACCAGGGAACACAATGTCTCTTCTTAAATTAATTTTCTTTGTTTTGGAGTCGAACTGACCGACCGTGATCCAATTGTTACCCTGAAGAATTAAGAACATACTCACGTTAAACAACAGATTTGGATAAATAAGTGATGTTTTAAAGTTAATGTATTGTTCAGATCGGCTGTAAATTGGAAGTTTTTTTCTCCACACTTTTAACACGACCGTTTTAGCAATTTTTTTATTACGTTGTATCTATGGGGAATTTCTGTTTAAAAGTTTGTCTCATTTGTGGTAGAAGTTTATCCTCACGAAGTTGAGTGTTTTTTTTACCTTTACCATTTGAGTTTTTTTTAAATCTATTTTCGTGGAGTGGGAAAACTAAACATATACTTCATTGGATCGTGTTCATCTTCTTCAACCTCATCCGAGCCCTTCCTCTTCTGCCTATTCTTAGAGATTGATTAATGTCTGAAGATGAGAGTGATCATCGCAACAATGAACAATACTTGAAGCAGTAGAGAAAATAAAGCCTAAAAACAAAAATCCAGGCTTGTACAAGTGTTACAAAATGACCAGCTTCCAGTTGGCTTGCTGGCTCAGTAGATAACGCATTGGACCGGTATTGTAGAGGTCATGGGTTCATGGTTCGTAATAAACCTGTGTATTGATGAGTGAACGTTCAATATCATTTCGCTCCGACGAAGGGCTAACGCTCGAAACGTCAGCTTTTATAATCGTAACGGTGGCCAATTTACCATTTCAACTTTGTTGATATATTCAAATTATTTCGTTACCCCCACCGATGCAGCCCCAAACAGTTTCTTTAGAAACTATCAGCCTTTGTTCAATATTTATGTCTATCACCGGTGGAAACCTATTACTTAGAGGTTTCATTCGAAGAACTTACCACAAGATTAACGACATCGTACAAAGGAGGAGGATCTTGATTCCGATCGAAGAACATCACGTTGTTCGTACCAGTCGCACTCGGATATCCTGAACTGAAGTCATCAAATGTCCTTAACTTCTGGTATAGTACGTCTCTCACAGTCTGCACGTCTGATGTGCTACTGATGACTTTCTTATTGACGAGGTCTGACAGAGCCAGCGCTACACCATGTACTGCGTCAAACAGCTGCGCAGTGAACGCCGCTGACATGGGAGTCTGAATGAACAGAGATGCGATAACGTGAGCCAAAGTGAAAACGGTTTCAAATTAGCAAATTACAGCGACTATAACAATTTTTCTTGATGAAATGTATGGTTTTAGAGTAAATCATATTTGGTTCGTGTCTAATATAGACGCTGTTTTTCCCCGGGATCTTTCCTTGCTTATTTTTCACCGTACTGTAGGTAAAATGCACTCTTATTGTAGTGGTTTCAATGAAGTTCGAGTGATGAAACTCCAATATAAACGTGATTTTTATGTTGCGCCACTAGCGTGGAGGAGTATCATATATTGATATATGCGCTACTGAAACTCACCGGCTTGCTACGGACAATCCCAGGGTAGATTGTAGAGTCCTTCTTAAGCCAAGCTGCCAGAAAGTTCAAATAAATACTTCCCTCTCCGTTTTTTGGCTGTGTTCCTATCATACCTTCCATGGTTCGTTCCAGGTCTTTCTGATGGTGAAACGTGGAAGAGGTTGCGCCATCAGTACCAATCCATACCCAGCCTTTTCCCGTCATGCCTAGCTCTTTGATCTGTTGGAAGACCGTCTCGGCATCTTGACGTACCATACTGATGAGGTGGACTTTTGAACCGGACGACTTCAGCTGGAGAAGGTATACAAAATGGTTGACTTTATTTTATAGAAAGACAAGAGAGCCAAACCCTTGGTTAAACTGAACTTGATTAATGGCGATAGCAAAGTGCCTACACCGCAAAGTTCAGTCCCACTCAGTTGAAAGGCCCAATTACATACTAAAGATTGGATTATATCCCAATTACCTTCTGTATTTTTGGTCGGACGGTGGCCGCACGTGCATTTACATCGAATCGTTGACTGCTGACCACACTGACCGGGACATCAGCCATGCTTGCGACTTCTTTCTCAAACATATCCGCAAGATCTTTTCCGTAAATATCGTTTGTAGCAACAGTGCCGACTTCCGGGAACATGTACTTCCGGAATAAAGCTGAGAGAACGGCAGCTTGATGCACGTCAGATGGACATGTCCTGAAGAAATACTTATAATTTGCCTTGTCTGAGAAGACGGAAGAAGTGGAGCCGTAGGAAATTTGAGGTATTCTGTTACTTGAAGTTCCTGAGAGTGCAAATAGGAGCAGAAAATTAAGACAATGCTCCATAAGGTTACTGTGAAAAACCCATTCATAAGACACCCATAGGTTGACTAGATAAATCTCTTAAATGAGGGTACCACATACAAAGGTTACAGGAGAATATCTTTCGGCGATTAGCAAAGATTATGACCCTTACATGCAAGTATTCCCTGAAAAGAGGGGTCCCAATAGGGTGGTTCCACTGTCACACATCTCTGTGATTAGAGAGGAATGGGTGGAGGCATTACGTTGGCGCCCAAGTGACGGTCAGCAAAAAGCTAGATATAAATCCACTGCTGGCTAAAAACTACAACGAACTGATTACTTTCCTTGTAATCGTTTCTCTCGTAGCAGTTACCCCCCTTACCTTTTAAAAATACTTTTGTTTAAATAGAGATAACATAACAAGTATGATGCGATCTCAATGACCTGTCCTGGCGCTTACCTAAAACATTAGCAGCGGCTTGAGAGCAAGAGGAACGATAGGCACCAATAACAGCAACGACGTCGTCTTTAGCAAGCTGTTCAGCCGCCGCTCTGCAAGAGGAGTTAGCATCTACACCGCCATCTTGAATTTTGATATCGAAATCCACTGCCAACGTTGGATCCTTGTTCATCATCTCCACGGCAACGCGAAAAGCCGATTCAAATTCTTTACCGAGTTCGGAAAGTCCTGCCAAGTCTGGGTGGATCGGAGCGATGAAACCGATTCTGAAAGTTGTCTTACCGGGTAATCCTTTGTCAGTTGGTGGAATTTTTGTATTGCCTGGCCAAATGATGACATCCATTCTTTCGACTCCAATAGTTTTGTTCCATTTTCCCACCTTCTTCCAAAGCTTTCCCTGAAGTGAGGTGAAACCAAGTGGTTATTGCCTTTTTATCATTTGCGACTGTTAGTCGCGGAAATTTTGATTGCGAGAAGAATTGTTTGGAGAGCCAGCTCTATTTAGAGAAAGACAACTGCATCAGCAGCCTAGAACTTCTATTACAAATAGATTGTAACATAATCTGTTCTTTTTTAGGTTAGGAGTCTAGGATGGTCAAGAGGTTTCCTTTGGGAATCAGTTTACAGGTTGCTTGGTGATCAAAAAACGTTCATGCTTGGAAAACACTATGAAATGTAGGATGAGACAGGGAGACCGACAGCTCGACTTGAGAAATTCTTACCTGAAGATTTCCAACGTCGTAACCTGGAGATTCAAAATATGTGGGACCTAACGACGAAAAGCAAGCATATCAGTACCTGTCATGTTCGACTGGTAGATTCTCACTGGTATCACATCATAATCGCCACCAAGATTCAAAATAGTCATATTACTGACTACTTCTCGTTTTTCGAAAACTTAACGCCATACGACATTAGAATAACCTAAACAACATGGTGATGATGGTTTCATGATCAGTCGAGATGAACCTCTTTCTCACCTTGGGCACCGACAAATCTAGCGTTTTTATTGTTGAATTTCTTCAGCTCATCAAAGACCACCTTTCGTAACGTTGACGCAGAGTCACTCTTTGAAAAACAAGGAAGAAAAAAATTTAATAAACTCCACCAAAATTAAGGGCAATGCAATACTTCCAAAATAACCCCGAGAATAAACACTATATTTACCGAGGATATTTTGCCTTGTCTCGCCAATCTGTCAAAAGCCAAGTAATAAGCATAAACAGCATCGAACACTTGTGGAACATACACGGACGTAAAAGGCATCTAAAAGGTGCAAAGAATAAAAACTATTATGATTGGAGTTTACAATGATCAAACTTCTATTTAAAACTTCACGCGCAGAGTGAGATGAATCAATGGATAAAATCCACTTCGAATTAAAGCAAAAAAATCAAAGGGCCAAGCAGAACAAAGTAAAGTACAACAAGGATTCATCGAAAATACAAATTAAATACAAATAAAATTTCCTAATTGAAAAACTCGACCTGGATGCAATCGATTTAAGTTTTCCAACCTAATTGGATGAGACAATGGCACGAATTTCCTGAACCAAACAAAATGCGCGATACAGCAAACCCCAAGCAGTTACTGTCGACTCTCAATTGAAAACTGTTCTAATAATATTAATAATAATAATAATTATAAAAATAATAATAATAATAATAATTTATATTGCGCAAATTAACATGTGGATATGATCAAATGAATGAAGCAAGAACCCGGCCCGAACTTTTTTTTAGCATCAAACGTATACTGGCCTTATTCAGACGTACGTTGTCATAAATAATTCCTGGATACTGTTACCTGTTGTCTTTGTGATTCATCCACTTGAAGAGCATTCTGAGAATCCATTTTCCTACCCCTCCTAGAGAAAGAGAATAAAACATTAAAAATCGTAAGTGGCAAATTCTTTTTGGTTTTTCGACGCTTGGGTTTTCATCACGTACCTTTGGGCATAGTTCCCACAGTTCCTTGCATTGCTTGTGTAGCTGTGCTTTGATTGGTTGGTGGAGTGGCCAGGACACCGTCACTTCCTATCCACACCCACCCCTCCCCAGTCATACCCTGTAAAGAAGGAAGTACATAGATAAACAATAAGAAATTTAAAATTGGCTAAAAGTGTTATCCTCATAGCTCGTTTTGTGACCAAACTCTATAATCAGTATGCATTTTCTCCACACTGTTCTCTAAAGATTTCCCAGGGTACTGACAAGATGAATTTGTTTAATGAGTGTCAAAGCTTCTCTAGTTGGTTAACATATCCCATATTCTCATGAACATAACGATTAATTTATCTGTGATTCCGTAAGGAGAAATTAATTGATAATCACTCTCACGGAGTTAGAGGGTTTAGTCAATAAGATTAACATTGAGAAACAAATGTTGAGCGAATGTTTGAATTCACAAACGTCACTACGATGACTGTAAGTCATGAGTCTGAGTCACCTTTGCTTTTGCAGCTTTGAAGATGGCGCGGGCTTCTTTTGGTAATGCAAACACGAGGTTGACTCTTGTTTGAGCCTCTTTTATCTACAAAATGAAAACACGACGAGACACCCAGATCAATATAAAAACAGCTTGAGAGACTGAAGTGAAAACCCTTCAACGAATACGACATACCATTTCTTACGCGATTTTGCGATGATCTCATGCTAATCCTGATAATCAGGAAGCAAAGAATAATCCCGGTTGAAAATTAATAACTTTCAGCGTAAGAACGAGGGTCTTCTTACAAATAACGAATCTCGTTAGGTGATAATTTGTCAGGGCGGGGAGAGTGGGGTCTCAATACTAAGCGGATCAACATACAAGCCTTTGAAGTATTTTCACACCTTGGATTTTTTGAGTGGATTTATACAACAGTAACTGTCTTTCCCGAACAATCCAGAACGAAGAAAAAATAACAGTTTCCTTCGAAAAAAAGGAGGTAATTCACTTGGGCACCAATCTGTCTCGATAAAGACACTCCGTGTTTCCCGTTGTGACTAATTTTAGCCCTGGTCAAATAAAAAAACTCGTTTAAAAATAACGATGATTCAAATGCAAAGCCATTAAAAGTATTTCAGGGTGGTAACAAGACGTGTTGTGTAAGCATCCGACTCTTTAAGTAAACATCGATTACTTGGCAAAACAAAACAGTGTTTGAAATGACAAGTTGCACAAACCACATCGACTTCGCTAAAAAGGTTTCCATCAAAACTTTGACGCAAATGCTTTAAATACCATTACAGTGTATGCATTAAAACTCCACCTGAAGAGTACTAATGTCAACAGACCATTTTGATCCAAATAAAAGAACATTCCTTACCCGCTGAACTTTGCTGTCTATATCTCCTGAGGTAGCCATGGATGGTAATCGTGCAGATGCATGGATTCTAATTCCTTGCAATCGCGCAGCTGTTTCAAAAGCATCAGCGAGGTTTTTACCATACCCGTCAGATGTAGCAATGGTACTGACCTGTGTGGTACAACAAAAGGAACTATTAAGGAAATGAGGGAATGTTGGCAATTTCGGACAACAAGCAGCCTTAACCCTTGTCTATTAAATGAAACAAAAAAAATCGTAGTATCATTTCATCTGAGACATACAATGTTAGAAACATTTTAACTTTTTCATGCACACGTTTTATGTAGATGTAGTATTGTCCCTTTTCGCGTACCAGGTTCTGGTAAGAATGTACTTATCATGATACAAGTATTTTTAGACCAAATTCTTCAGAACTTTTCTGATTGTTTACCGGAATAGTTCGTAGATCGAGCAATCTATCATATTAGACACAAAAAGGACAAATTCCATGTGACTGAGGGGAAGACTTAGTTCAAGGCAAAATATCTATTTAAACGTGGACTTTGGTTGAACTGAATAAAGGAGATAAGCCTTTTTGAACTAAACAAGCAGAAAGCAACTTACTTGGGGTCTAAGCGAAAGCCATTACTAAGACTTATTTCACGGCTGAGTTGTTCCCCACGGATTCAAACATGCTAAACTTAAAACACCGAACTTTACAGGTGCTTACTAACACGCATCTTCATTCACACATGAAATGTTTTTTGTCTAAACCGGACCTGTAAGCACGCAAAAAAACAAAGTGTTCTAGAGCAGACTCCAGGTTAGTACTTACTCTTCTCCAGTTAAAAAGAGTCACCAACCCCACCAAAGCTTCAGCCTGTGCAACGTCACTGGCGCACGTCCTGAAGAATCGAGGATATTTCTTCTTGTTGGACAGCTCTGCTGCCGTTGACGCGTAAGATACCTGAGTCAGGAAGGGCGCTAGAGAGAGAACCATACAAAAACAAATTTAAGGACAGTTCACCCCATCAAAGCTGGATGCAAATCATTTTTTTATCAAGTAAACGATAACAGGTTTTTTTGGGACGTTTTCACATCGTCTTCACTTTCAACGCCACTTTCCTAAGGTCACAATTAGATATGTTAACGCCAGCAACGCCTAATATTTCACGATTTCATCGCATTGTAAAACTCGACATTTGGTTATTTTTGTTTCAATGACCCAATCTGTTGTCGTGTATTATCGTTACATGAAACATACGGGGCAAGTAATTAACACTTTCATGTTGTGCCTTTCTGCTCTGTCATCTCACTTCTGCAAAATTTCCCTACTTGTTAAATCTAAGCTCCTTCTTTCATGTGCGTCAGTTCAACCAAAACGTTCACCATCACGAACAGAAAAGCGCTTTTCGATATTCTACTCGAAAGAAAGCAACTAATTAAGGGTGCGGAGAGATCCATATCAGAAAAAGTTTTCAGTAACCAAATCAACTTAAAAAAAAAAAGCTTCCAACTACGTTATGATACCTTGGCAGAACTGACCCAGTTTTAAGCCTAAAAAGTTTGCCTTTTAAGTTGGCAAAGCGAAGCATTTTGCTGAAGAAAAATCGGCACAACTTTCTTGTTATGTGTGCACAATGAAGTCAATAGTCCAACTGTAACTAAATGTTGATAAAGGTTACATCATAGTTGGCTGCGTGAATCATAGGCATACCATGTGATTCTCTCAGATATCGTCACAATAATTATATTTCCAAATCAGAAGTAAACTTTGGTGCCGAACACTTTACTTCTCACGCCTTTTTCTCAAACAAAAGTTTGCGAATAGCGCAGAATAATCGAGGAAAGAATTATCACTAGTGTTGAATGTTGACACGCACTGATACATGATGTGTCCTGATATCAAAACTAACTGAATGTCTGAATGTTTTCGCTCACCCTTGTCTCTGAAATATTGATGAGATGCTTGAGAACAAGACGAACGCATCGCTCCTACAACTCCAACAACATCTGAATCGGCTGCTAGCTCCTGTGCGGCGATTTTACAGGTCTTTGATGGATTGATGCCGCCATCTTTGATCATACCTGTAAAGAGAAACATTGTAAACATTTAGAGAAGTGTGATAAAGACCTATTAATAAAGCGCTACTACAACCTTTTTAACCTGAAATGTTTTTGAAAAGAGATGGTCCCTCTTTATCTCTAGATAAAATACTTATTTAATGGTAACAACACTTAACATTTTAGCTTGTATTCTTGCTCATACTCTGCTACATGTTGAAAGCAATGGACACAAAATTTGATGCTTACAATACGTACTCAAGTGATTATTAAGAACTCATCATAAACTCTTGTGTTTAAAGATGTCCAAAACACGACTATATCAGAGAAGAACGGATGCAAAGAAGGTAGCTACTTAACTCATAATAGGAATTAAAATTAATGAATATCTTCTCAGAACTTTTAGTAATTGAATGCTCTACCATAAATCAATTAATAATTGGGTTGATTAATCTAGTTATTCCCAACATAAAGCATAATTTCCTTTCTCTAAGTATGCCACACTCAAATGGTTTCTTTTCCTCCAAAGGAACCTCACTCTTCCAACACTGTCTAGGGGAAAACGCTACTTCACCAGCGCAACATTATACCCTGCACCATTCCCCTTACAGAAAAGATGAGTGAAGACAATTGATGGAGACCTCTCGGCCATGTAACGAAAGAAATTTTATGGTGTTAATTAGGAAAAAGGAAAAGCCTCCCTTAGAAAACATGCGAGAAAGATCGCCAATTCTTGGCGCACAAACACAAACGGAAAGGATCGAGATGCGATTGTTTTGTTTCAAAGTTTAAGTCCCTCTCATGCGGGTTCAAAAGGATAAGTAAGTGCTTTAAGCCAATTTACCACAAACAGTATAAAGTGAATTCTTACTCTTAAAATCCATAGACAGTCGTATTTGACTGCCAACTTTCGGCTTAGCTGCCTCTTCGTTAATGACTTCGATAGCTACCTTGAATGCCGAACTCTGAAAGTGCAAAGTAATCAGGGTGAGTTTTCAGGAACACAAAAAACTGTTGGGACACAAACTATCGTCAAGAAATAGGTAATGGTAAATTACTAACCAATTCTTGTCCTAGAGAAGCCGTGGCTCCAAGAGAGTCGTCTAAAGCGCCGATGAAGCCCAACTTGATTGTTATGTTCTTGGCTTCGACAGGTTCTGGGAATAAAACGGAGACGAAGGAACGAGGAATGTTCAGAAAATGGTCAAGTTCATTGAGACCGCGTTTCAAAAATGGCAATAGTGAAGCATTTGAAACTGATTTTAGAAGCAGGCAAAGAGAAATGACCACGAAAGTCGGCGCGTTCATGATCAGTAAAGCGACAGAAATGGATACAGTGGGATGCGAAAGGTACGAAGGCCTGAAGCTGACGTGTTTAGACTATCACGTTTCAAAGTAACTTTAGGATAATGTTATTTCGAGAAGACTCCAGTTCAAACCGGTAAGTTCTAGCGGTGGTGCAATGCTTTTCATCAACAAAAAACAAAATGGTTAGTTATGGGATGGACAAGCAATGTTTAAAGTTTGATTTCCTGAGGTATTTCCTATTTGTCATCATCCAAAAATCGTTTTCAGTTCAAACACTTCCTAACTGAAGGGACCCCATGGAAGTTCGTTTGACACTTGATTTCTATCATTTGATAGTGACCTAAGAAATAACTATCGAGGATTACATAGAGCGATCCCTAAATTTCTCACAAAACCTAAAACCAACACGTGAGGAAATTTTCCACAAGATAAGTTTGACTTGTGAATCACCTCAATGGAATGTTATCCTCCCTAAGTAAAGACTTGTAGGAGTAGAAATAACGCGACTTTACCGTGATGAAATTTTAAAATATCAAACCGTGTTAAACTTTACAATTCAATAAACTTCAAGTGAAACTTTCAAGCCGAATAAAAACGAGACCTTGCCCAGTTAACAAGCCACCCTGAAAAGGAAGCTTTAATGAGCTTAACACAGTCAACTACTGTGAAACAAGTACCCTGCCTTCTAGAAAACAGCTGAACAGATAAAAATTGGGCGCCGTTACATTGAATCTTGTTCAACACCTAGTTGAAGAACTTTAGAGGCACAACAAAAATCAATTCCTTCCCGCATGTCTCTACAATTGTCTAGAAATGATTAATTGTCCTTTGTGTTCAGGCGGCACGCTATGGGTCACCTTTTTTACCACAGGCCATTGCTTGTCTATTCTACTTTACTTACCAACTTTAAATGCAGCAAGAGCATAGAGAATAAGAGAAATCTTCGCGAAAAACATTTTGTGAGATTTAACTTCTTAGCAAGGTTGTTGCCGTTTCACTCTTAACACTTTTCAAGTGAGGAGGTCGTTTGCACCGGTAGGGTTAACCCACCGTTTTTAAATGCGTCAAACGGTTCCGCACGCGGATATCCGCATCCTCCAAACTTACTCTGTATACATTGCAACACATTCTTTCTGCCAAGCAATTTCGTCAAATTTGTTTTCAAGATTAAGTATTCGCAACTTCCAATGAGAATGCATATCGAACAATGACTTAAAAGTTCCAGAAATATATTTATCTTAACGATCGTGGTTTCAGGAAAGACGGAGAAAGAAATGTTTTCAACATCTTGACATTCCTCCAAGTTGAACAAACTAAACAGTCTGTCAGTTGACAAGGGTGTTACACGAACTTCAAAACAAACAAATGGTACAGGAGAGGAGGAGCTATTTGTACTGTAAAAACAACAGCTAAATAATCTGGTAACCAAGGATAAATACTGTAAGTCCATTTGGAAGAGAAAAAAAGGTGAAAAGTGAAAGCGCCTTTTATTGTTACATGGGTATCATCACAGCGGTTTAAATATAGAACACACTTGCGCAAGTTTGGAAATCATTCCAAACTCAACCGAGCTTTTTCTCTTATGAAGTGTCTCTTTGAGAAACTCAAGAGCCCGTTTAAGGGATTTTTCCACCTCATAATTAGAAACAATGGAGGGTAGCATTTAAAGATGGGATTAAACCTATTCGACCTAAGAGATAAGCCGTCAAACCACCGCTCCACTAGTCCAATCGCATGCAGAAGAAACTCGATATGGGTCGTAGCGTGCTGCTAAATAGACAGAAAATATCTGCGCTAATCAGCCACTGACTGGCGCGTTTCCTGATTAAGACAAAGGTGATGGAAAGACAGCATATCTATGTTTTGATTGTCACATAAATGGCCAATTTGAGGTCCAGCATAAAGGCGGTGCTCTGTGATAAGTAGGTCCCATCCCTGAAGCATTCGTAGAATTTGCGATTCAAAGATAAGATAATGGGATTGCGGTGTGCCTTGAGAACCGAGAAGGTAAAGTAGCAAGTGGACATTTATCACGCATAACAAAATTAAAGTTCTAAAACTTCATCCCAGGTACTGGTTCAGGTTGCAATACTAAAATAAACTGAGTCGCTCACGAATCCGTGACGCTTAGAAAGACAAACACATATCAAGATGCAGACCTGACGCGTAATTGTAAATTGACACCAAGCAACAAGATGGCAACAGATCATTAATCATTATTGTTTGTCGTGCACAACAACTGATGAAATCCTGCTAACAAGGTTCTAGCCGGTAAATTTTTAATTCAGTCGTGGACCTCCATTAGTACGATGCACTTCCTTGCGTTAAGAAACAAAAAATTGAATTGCATGATGGAAACAAATGCCTGCACGGAAGACCGGGTGAAGACAAAGGAACGGCAACGCCCTAGAGAACAGACACTCTTTCATTCGTTTCGTGGCGTCTTTACTTCGGGTGAGCGTTGCATGTGCATGCTTTTCCTCTGATAAACTAATTTCTTGATTCGCCTTGAATAAAATGCTACCTGATGTTACAAGGCCGAAACTAAACTTGTTAATTTGTACATTGTAACTGCGAATTGATCGGTGAAATTGAATTCAATTGAATCATGATGAAGTGGTTCGTTTTCCCTTGAAGGAAAACGGTATTTCAGAGTATTTAAAGGCATTAGCCACAGTAAAAGTTTAGGTTAGTTTTTCCAGACTACGCAAAAGACATTTCAGATATACAATTGAGCAAACAAATGCTAGTTGATTACGAGAGAGACAGAGTAAGAGTACTGTCTCACCGGCCTTAGAGTATTGAGCCTTTAGCGACGTCAAGACTTGTTGTAATTCCGATTGTAATGACCAACAAGATCCTACGTTTTTAACACACTTCTCAAACTAAAGTTACTTGCAAATCGACTCTAAGGAGCATTCTTTCATCAGAAATACGAAGTGAAACACAACATAATTAGCGGATTTTTACCTTGCTTTAGTTGTTTCGAAGAGGTTCATTCCGCAGTTAATCTTCAGTGTTGGGGCATCCGCGATTTGTTTTGGGAAAACTTGCAAAAAGGTGATTACAACTTCAATGGCAAGAACTATAGACGAATGATCAATCTTTTTATTGGATTCTTTTGATGTTACACAGGTTGTATTCACTGCTATTTAGAGCTGAAGTTGGCCAACCACTCGGCTCGCCAACTTATTCCTCAAGATTGTGCGACAACATATTCCACTCCAGGGCTAGTCTATTGACGACTTTAACACTTCAGTGGAAGGAAGTAATCGATTGAGTCTATTTCATTCAACGTTCGGAAGCTAAATCTATTTGTGGCGGCATAGCGTGTGGACCAAGGTACCTACTTTAGTAATCACTGTATTCCACGCGCCTTCGAAACACTACATGGTTTTACGATCGTGATTTTTGCGTCGAAAAGTTCATTAAAACATTTCGATATTTCCAAGTGAATTCTTATGGTTTAGTAGAGATATGTTTCAGTGAAGTAGTGCTAATTAATCGATTATATTCGATTCTATTCAAAGTCGAAGTGATTGCTCAACGGAAATTGACGAACCGTTCTATAACTTGGCTACATTCAATCGGTTGAGTCCAAATGTATTTTTATGACGATTGCAATAGTAATTCTTTCGAAGAAATGCTGCCGCCATGAAGAATCACAGTTCTTATTTTAAAGTAAAAACTTAAAATTTCTTTGCTTGGGCCTTAAAACAACTTGGGCGACCTTCGTGGGAACACGCGCACTTTTCAAAGTACTGAATTCAATGACAGAAGTCTACTACAAAACGAAAATGCTGCTTCTAAAAGGCTGCTTCAAAGACGGCATCTGAGTAAGTGTTTGACTGGTAAAACTAACGTTCCCAAATATGAAATTTGGCTCTCTTTTACACCAAGATGCTCTGAGCCATTTTATCAAGTGATAGTTGAAGCAATTGAGGTGTTCGGTTAACTTGTTTCAGCGATGCAAGCGCCAACATTGTCTTCATAGACTTTGTATGTCTTCTACCGTCTGCTTAGTTTTCCCACGATACATACACTCGCCCGTTAGTTTCTACCTGTCCTTGCCTAAGCAAAGAGTGTTTCACACGTTTCTTTCACAGAAAACGTCCTTTACTCTGTGTTAAGGTTCTCCTATTGTCGAGTATGTCCCCAGACTAGAGAAAGTCTATTGCAAAGTATCATCTTGACGAAATGTCTACTTTGCATTATGAAAAACATTTTCACTTCTTTTCTTCCAAATCGAGTGGAAGTTTGATGTTTAATTCCATCATGAAGTAAATTAGATCGCTTTCTCTGTAATAGTTACACGAAGCACAACTAAACCATGGTGTTTGCTTCCTCGATGAATCTCATTCAAATCTTCCATCATCTTAGAACCAAAGGTTTTCCGTCTCCAAATTGAGAAAATTTGTCATTTTTCTTTAAATCGCAATCCGACAAGTAGTAACACGACAAATTTTATCTCCGAACTTTTGTATCCAGCGCTCGAATAGCATACGGATTGCATCAGGTAAAGGTAGAGGGAAAAACTACCAGCATCTCCTATCACACTTCAACAGTGAGGATACAGGGGTCAACACTAACGGTAGCCAACTAGCCAAAAACTAGTAGAAATTCATTTGGATATATCAACAAAGTTGAAATGGTAAATTGGCCACCGTAACGATTACAAAAGCTGACGTTTCGAGCGTTAGCCCTTCGTCGGAGCGACGAAGCTAGGGCTAACGCTCGAAACGTCAGCTTTTGTAATCGTTACGGTGGCCAATTTACCATTTCAACTTTGTTGATATATCCAATGAAATTATTTCGTTACCCCCACCGACGCAGCCCCAAACAGTTCCTTTAGAAACTATCAGCCTTTATTCATTAGTAGAAATTCAGTTTTGGCTAGTGGTTTTTGATTTCCATAGACCAGTTTGGCCAGTAAACACACTGAAATTTTTGTAACATTTAAGTTGTCACTAGCCACTTGGCTAGTAATTTGAAAAGTTAGTGTCGATCTCTGGGATTACATAACTACAAATCTGTCTCTGAGTTTGACACTCGAGGTTAGTAATCACGACAGAGCAGCTGGTGAATCTTCAAAGTCAACTTCTTCAAAGTTAACGTTTTTTCTGCGTATGTTTTATTCAATTGAGGAAAACGCTAAGTTGAACCACTAAATGAATTGATTATGTATGCACAAAAAATGTGCGTGACTATTGTGTTGCTGGTGGAATTTGTTTGTGAAGAGGCAAATATGTAAACGGAAACTAAAATTTACTTAGTTATTGCTTCTCTTGTGACTAAACCGAAACAATGCTTCAGAAAATAACTCACCACTTCAGACAGACTATGAAACAGTAGGCACGATATTTTTTCAAGGCCGAAAAAAAAAGAAGCTAACTGCTTACTTCATAAGATAACACCTGCCACAACGTATCATTTAAACAAAATTTCGCACGAGACAACCATTTTCAATTTGTTCACTAGATTTCACAAGCTAATAAATTCTTAACTTATTAGTCATATTTAAATTTATTTATACATATATATATATATTATTTAATTTTCTTTAATTGTATTAGTGTATTTTAGTAATTTCAATATCTTTACTTGGAGATATTAGCAAGTATTTGCTATCTTTAATTCAAGTTAAAATAAAGATATTGTATTGTATAATAAGGTAAGACCCAATGCATTTACAACCTTGAAGCGCTATTCCCTTAACTGAGTTTGTATTGTGAAGTAGTTGTTTCCGTGGAGAGAAATTGTTACATTTGCAATGCTGTAAACCTATTTCACAAATTAGGTTATCGTTTGATTATATTTCAATTTTTCCTGCGATTTTAAGCTTGAGCATAACCCCTTCTGAACCAAAGTATTTCGATCTTAAGTGATCAGCTCGCCTTTCTTTTGATAGATTTTAAAAGAAAACAGTACATCTGATCTTTCAGATAGCCATAACTTCGATTTCTCGCACACTAAACTGTGTGTTTACCACTAGGCCTTCGACTAGAAATAAATCAGTTGTCTCAGAAAGAAAGATGTCTCGATATTTTGACTATTATTTACAGTCATATATCTTAATACTGTTTGATAAAGATCTCCTTACATAATTGTTCGGACTTGCCGGAGCCGTAAAAATGCCGACCTTTCAATTAACGAGAACATATCAGGTGTTGGTGGAATTGAGTTTCAACCATTTTAAGCCACACTTCAACTTCAAGAAGACTTCACAAGGAGAGGAATCATCCTTCAATTACTTCAGATGAAGTTTTTTGGAGGAGGCCTACAATTAAAGGCGCCTGTGTGAAAACCTGTCAGCACCTACCACAATTTGAAGTTTCCGGAAAACATTATAGAATATTCTCAGTGTACTCGTACTTAGGGGCCGACCATTTAACTTTTGAGGGGGAGGGGGGGTGGGTGATTTTGAAAAAAAATTTCCTGCAAGCGCTTGTTAGAAGAAAAAAATTACATGCAGCCCATATGTAACAGAAGAAATGTACCATAAAATCGGAAAAAATATCCTGCACAGCAGATTTCTCGAAAAAAAATTTCTTGATGACCAGAAATCACCCACCCTCTCCTCAAAAGTTAAATGGTCGGCCCCTCAGTCCTTCTTTTCATGTGAAATGGGGCCGAATCCGCTGTCTTAACATATTTCGGCGCATGTTTGTAGTCTGACCAAAATAGCTACTACTTCACTCGCGGCATTTCTCATGGATATCGATACTTTTCTTGATACGCCCAAATTCAAACGGTCTAACCGCGACAGACTTAAGGTAAACTTGAGGAAGGAAACCCTAAAAGAATTTCAGTCACTACTCAATGTCGCTTCCTCATCATCTCCAGCGATAAAGGGAAGGTGATTAAATGTATTCGGGGGGGGGGGAGGGGAAAGAAGTGTTATAATTGTATAATTCATTGAAGAATCGAATACGACCTCTGAGAAACCAACAATTGCTTCTAAAAAAGTCGAACTTTAAAGAGACTGCTGCAGTTTTGGGTAAACTGATTGTAACAACAAAAGGCTGTTGTTAGTGGTTCAGGTCTGATGGACCGTTTTTTACTGAGTAGCAAAATAAGAAACAAAAGATCATGAATCAAAATTACTAGTGGTAATCCATAGTGACGTTGCCCTACCTTTTCTGTCAACATGAGTTTAGCTATCATACATTTATTTCACAAGACACCAGAATAACAAATAAAAATGCTGCTTTAGTAAATTGCGTGTGATCTTCTGCTCTAGACTAATGCTGGTTTTCGAAATTTGACATCATAAAACTTTGCTTCTTCTTTTCAGCAATTATTCCTTGAGGAACCTTTGGGTTGAATTTGCCTGAATAGCCCCAATTCTTACTTCAAGAATCAATAAAGATCGATCAAAGTTTATATCAAAATGGGTCTTCTGAGAAACAGCAACTAATCCTTTCTTCCTTTACATTCCAAATTCGAACTGATCAATGTTGGACCACAATGACCTGCTTTAAATGAGTTCTACCAGTAACATTTTCCTGAATTTACAATTGCACATTTATTTTCAAAATGCTCTCTTCTGATAGTTTCCTACACAAAGGAGTGCATCTTTGAACATTACCGATCGTATTAATTTAACTGGGATTACAAACATTCCCTCTGCTGTCAGTAAAAGCAAAATGGTTTCTGTTCTTTTCTACTCGCGCATGTTTCTTTGCAGTTCATTTGACAGCGAAATATTTGCGCAGATCCATGGACCAGAACTGTCAAGTTACAGAGTAAGCAAATGTTTCTACATCAAAGGGGTGACTATTTTAACTAGTTCATTACCCAGTGTGCTGAAAAGACAACCAAACCGGTTTTCATGAAAATAGAAAATTACCAGCGAGTTGGCGATAAATTATGACACCGGGACGAAATGCTGTTTCGCCTGTCAAATTTTTTTGGCGGTGATGGATTGTAAATTAATTTTGCTTCCTGGAACGTAAACCACATCAAATAAAGTAATTGTCTTCGTTGAAAAACACTGCGTAAAGTCGCAGGTATTTCCGTCAAAAATAATTCCCAGGGGGAGAAAGGGGTTGACTCCAAAAGGCCTGCTTTGACTCGTTTCGCAAGATATTTGATATTCCAGCAAAATCAAAAGGTCCTAGCCTATTTTCAAAAAGTTCTTGAGAACTATTGAACATTTTCCCCCGAAGATTAAGTTAAGATCAACAGACGTGACTAACCCACATTTCTTTAGTCCAATCCGACGAAAAACCGCAGAACACATTTCCTTTAGAGGTGAAAAAGCCGAGACAGAAGTATCGAATAATCATTTTGCCATTTGGTACTGCAACATTTTACTCGCGCATCTGTCTTGCGATCGCAACATTTCTGGAAGTAACAAAGGCTGAGGATCGAATTTTGGCTTATCAACAAACCCGTCACATATTTTAAGTGACATAATGGAACTGTAAAAGCTTCGTATTGTGAAGGAAGGATTA